TTCATATTGAAAAGGAGAACTATGAGGTGAGTGATTTCCACACATCCTCATAGTTCGAGCCGCCTTGTGACAATGAAACTGTCACAGGTCGGCTCAATAGATCGGGAGGTGAGCGAACACATACCGGCGCTTGCTCACTTCTCGATCATCTTCCTGCAGAGAGCCGTGACTGTCACTCACGGCTCCCCTCAGGGATTCCCCCCCTCCCCGATCCTCCAGCCCTGAGTGGCGGAACAGACGGGGGAGGGGGCGGGCACAGCTGGCTCTCCCTCTAGATAGGCAGAGCCAGTTGTCATTCACATCCGCCCCGGCTGCAGCAGTCTCAGTATACTGCAAGCTGTAGCTTGCGATATACTGAGCTTTGGGTCACGGGAGGAGGTTCGTATAAGTCCTCTCGTGACCCTTAGAGAACTATGGGGAAAAACACTTACCTCATAGTTCTCTTTTAAGTAAATTTTTTTTACATCGTCGCTCTGCCCTTGTAATTTCCCTTCTAAAGTGAACAGCTCGACTTTAGTAAATCAACCCCAAAAGACTTCCAATGTGTCAAGAAGCAGGAAAACACCGATGTGTAGGAAGCAAAGCGTGCATATTTAATAAGCAAATGTGGCTGCCCCCTTGTATACATATAAATCAAACTAAATCTAGAACAAAGCTTTTTTTTTTTTTTTTTACAAAAATAAAACGCCATAAAATTGACATCAAGCTGATTTTTCTTTTTTTACAAAGTTTCTCTAAAATACAGGAAAAAAAAAGAAGACGGTTCATTCCCTTTCATCTGTGAAAAAACGTTGATTCACAAGTTATAGGAATCGGGAAGCCGGGTGGCGAGTCTTTACACGCCGCATGGCTTCCTGAATGGGACTTCCGGTATTCGGTATCGGCAAGTACCAACATTTTTTTTATTGGCACTTGTACTCAATACCTGTATCGGTGCATCCCTAGTATTTTCCACATTGAAATCTACTAAAGGACCAGTGGCAATGTAACCAGCAATGACCTGGGTGACACTGAGACAGGAAGTTAGGGGAAATCTTCCCATTAGAGACATACAAAGCAATGAATAAAGAGAAACAATATTGTATATTCCAACTCTATCCAAAAGGAAAATTGTTCTACTTAAAACAAAAAACATCTAGTCTGTAAATTGGAACATATTTTACATAAAGTCCAATTAAAATCAGCTAAATACGCTCCAGATGCATGAAATAAAAGGTGTGCAAAGTCTTACCGTTCATGTTCTATGGAATGCAGCTAAAGCCGGTGTTGAAAAGCCTGTTCCCTGCCAGCATGGTGTAGAGAAGGACCATTGCTCTGTGTGGAAGCAGTGGTCTCATTGCAGAGGTCAGACATGATGCATCAGCTCCCTGCTGAGTCAAAGCTATAGCTCTGCAATTAACAAAGCTCATGATCCGCGCGCTGTGACTCAGCAGGTGGTGTTTTGGGCCCTGGCAGGGAGACCGCTGCTTCCACACACAAAGCAAGGATCCTTGCTGGCAGGGAACAGACTTTTATTCTCAAGCTGCAGCTGCTGTGCAAAGCAAGTTATGACATGTACATGCCATAGCGACCCAGGCCGGGCCCCCCTGTGCCCGGGCCCCATGGGTCGCTATGGCGATTGTTACGCCACTGTCCCTAGATGAAAGCTCTGTTACACTGGAGTTAGGGGCGGCACTTCACAGAGAGGCCTTGATGCGGCAGTGTGGCTTTTACGTATATTTGCAAATGTATGCAAATATAAACTCTGTTGTAATGCAAATTGTTAAAGCAGTTTAGACTTTTTGTTTCTTTTTTACTGAGTAGCAGGTAAGTGTGCTTAGCTACTTTTTTTTTTTTATTGTATTGTTCTGTGACTGGATAAGATCCCACTTTTACAGGGTGTCCGGTTTATGCATACACTAACCTGTTATGGGAATATGGATGGGCTGCCACTGCTGGCGATGCTAGTTGCCTGCTGGCTAGGCTGAACCTGCTGGCCATAATCTGTAGGCTTCTGCCGGCCCTTTAAAAAGGGGCTCAGAATAACAGGAGGCGGAGGCTTGCTTCCTGATCATGTGATCGCTGTGATTGGCTGTCAAAGCAATGATATGATTGCGAGCCTAACGTATCATAAACTGTGACTGGGAGCAGTCCGTGATAGCTCTCTCACTGTGCTGCGAACACAGAGTGAGTGCACCTTCAGCACAGAACAGTGGGTTGGCTGGACATATATATATGCATCCAGCCGGCATTAAAGCGACACTACATTCAGGAGTTAAATCTTAATTAATGCATTCAAGTACCTTAACTATTACCAAAAATGTATCTTATTTGTGTATCACTCGGCTGTAGATCCTCAAATCATCTCTGAATTGGTGCTGACACTGTCCTTCCTTCTGGAGGGTGGCTACTTTTGTTCCCCATGGTCCCTGTGTGTGTTGTAAAGTAGTCACCGCTCCAAGCTCGCTCTTTGTGATGGACTACAATCTTATGCTTATTTTACTAATTTGTATTGAAATTGTAGTCCATCACGGGAGCGAGCTTGGAGCGGTGACTACTTTTCAACACACATAGGGACCATGGGGAACAAAAGTAGCCACCCTCCAGAAGGAAGGACAGTGTCAGCACCAATTCAGAGACGATTTGAGGATCTACAGCCGAGTGATACACAAATAAGATACATTTTTGTTATTAGTTAGGTTACTGGAATGCATTTTAAAGATTTAACTTTGGAGTTTAGTGTCACTTTAAAGCCCAACCTCCTTACTCATGCAGATGTGCATTACACCAGTGGGAAGTGGTTAATACTTTGATTTACCTGGTCAGGTTAAAAACAAAAGAAACCCCAAAGACATGTCCTTCAAGATAAAACAAAAGACAATACAGAACCCTAAATCCACAATCGATCCAGAGAAAGGCACACACCCGTAGATGGACCATTTTGTGTTCATTAGGGAAACAATTCTTTTACATCCAACAGACTAAAATGCTATTGGAAGCTTATGTCCTAAAGTGGAAGTCTGTGTCAAGAAACTCGTATGACTGTGAAAAGATGAAAGTTTGTCAAAATTCATGACATCTTAAGCAAAACCAGGTGTGGATAACAAAAAAGCTTCTGAAGAGAACTAGCCAATCAATACAGGAAAGAGAAAGATGGGAGGACCAGTCCACCAATCACTGATGTAGGGGGTATCATGGCACGACCTGTCTTGAGCTTGAAAGAGAAGATTATAACATAAGTAAGAAGACGGAACAAGCTTACAGATGATGGCATCCAAGATATCCGTGTACAGTGCCAGTTATTAGGGATAAGCTGACTGATTTTGCATGGGAGGTAGTTCTGGTCAGTATGCGACGGGAAAAGTACAAAGTGCAAGTACGATGACATCAGGCAATGTTCCATTTTTGAGAGACCTGTTTTTATTGTGTTAGGCCAGGCACAATTAAATCAAATTCAATCAAAACTATTTAAAAAAGGGGAGTTGAACTTTTTCATTTAAGCGATTAATGACTCCTCTGTTTCATCCTTAAAAGTTTCTGCTGCATCCACATAATTTTGAAGACGATCAACTGCCTGCAAAAAAATAAATGAATAAATGTTTCTAAGCCCTTGTTATTATTGTCATCTTCAACAATGTATTTCTTACCTGTGTACCAAAACCGAGGTACACAGGATGTAGAAGCTGAGAAATGTTAGAAGATAAAGACTTCCTGGCAATAGGGATATTTCTCTATGCATAGCTAGTTTATTAATAGTGATTCTATAGACAAATAACTTTGCTCTTAGTAAGGCTTTTGTAGCCTATAATGGCGGACAACATACAAATAAATGTTCAAAAATACAATGTCAACTCCTAAAGAAGTCTCACGAAATACATTCTTTTTTGATCCAATCCCTCAGGGGACCAAGTGCATGTAGCACTTGGTCCCATTCAAATCTGTCCTGCCTTAGTTGGACAGTTCACTCCATGCTGCCTGACCGCCCTGCTAGCAAGGTGATAGAATTTTAAATGACAGTGCTGGTCTGTGGTGACAAGGGCCGCTCTCGAGATTAATGCTGCCATTCACAACAGACCACAGAGCCTGCGGGTTGCGTGTCTAACTGCAGCTGCTTGTGAATACGGCAGAACCATTGCACAACTTCATGGCGCTGAGTGATCTTTTACTATTATGAATGAACAGGCAACACTGTGGGGCTGTGTCATACACGGCACTGGCCCCATGAGCACTGATTGTTCATTCATAACAGTAAAACATCTCTCAGCACTGCGGGACTGTGTGGATTATATGCCGCAGATAGACACACTGCCCCACAGCATTGAGTGACCTTTTACTATTATATTTGTACGTTCAGCATTTCAGGGCTGTGTGATAGAACTGCGGGTACCTTTGCATATTTCCTAGCAGCCGGCAGCTCTATCAACACAGCCCTGCAGCGCTGATTGTCCATTCATAATAGTAAACAAACAATCATCATAGAGAGTAGATGGAGGCTCAGTGCTGACTGTACCAACCCCTACAAGAACACCCATATACTGGGCTTTACACTGGGGTGGAGTTACAGCCAGCATTAACATAAATAAAGAGGTGCTTTTAATCTGCAACGGGGCTGCCAATCAGAATGAGACCAACCGCTATATGCACTTGGTCCCCTGAGGGATTCATTAAAAAATTATTTTCTTTATGACAGTTCTTCTTTTACAGGGCTATTCACAAAAAGGGTGAAGAGTTTGGAGAAGGCAGGAGAAGTGAACAATCTAGAACATCGCTGAACTGGAAAAGTTCTCCAATTCAGCTCACTTTGCAGTTCAGCTATGTTGTCCTAGATCAGGGGCGCCCACAATTTTTCGCCTGGAGATCTACTTTTCAAATGACGAGCTCAATGAGATCTACCAACGAAAAAATACCTGCGTTCAGGGGCGTAGCAGTGCATTGAAGTCAAGCACAGCCGTAGCCAGCTTCTTTTGCACATGTGGCAAGAAAAAAAAGGTGCCCTGCCTCCATTCAGCAATTTACAAACACGGGAGTGATCAGCTGATCGCTCCAGTGTTTGTCCTGCACAGAGGATTGGTACAGCTTCACTTTTTCTCGGATCCCTGCTGCATAGGGGAGAGCAGTGGGGATCCAGAGAAGACAGGACATCGCGATCGACTGGTAGATCGCGATCGACCTAATGGGCTTCCCTGTCCTAGATTGTTCACTTCCCCTGCCTTCTCCAAACTCTTCACCCTTTTGTGAATCACCCTGAACGTTTTTCTAGTTTTGGATTGAGTGAGGAAGAGTTAAAACTTGTCTGACCTCATTGAGGATATTTTCCCAATGTGTATTGCCACTGAGGCTAATTTAGAGTTTTGAGTGTCCGTGGCAGCGCCTTTACTAAAAAGACTCAGTTATTTTGTATTCAGTTGCAATGTGCCTTTGAACTTGCCAGAAAATGTGACTACTCCAGGAGGAGTCACTTCCCTGGCACAGTCCCCTCCCCTGTTGCACATCATAACCCTCTCCTCTTTTGGGAGTGTCTAATTACTCTTTGTGCTGGCCCAGCTCCCTTGTCCCTACCCCCGCCTCCCTTCATAACTTTTTATATAGCTGCTGGGGTAGGAGTGAAGGGGAATACTATAGAGCAGAGGTAGCCAAAACATCGGCCTTTCAGCAGCCTTTGTCTTTGGGAGTCAAAAATTCTCAAATTCAGCTCACTTTCCAGTTCAGCTGTTGTCCTAGATTGCTCACTTCTCCAAACTCTTCACCCATTTGTGAATAGCCCTGTAAGTTTCTGTACTGGAATCAGTACATTCACATACATATGTGTAAATATTCACAGCAGCTCATGAAGTAACACCCTAGTCTACTTTTACTGGGCCTTTTAGGAGTAGTCAAACACTTTACCTCCGTAATAAATTGTTGTTCTTCCATCTTGGATAGAGCTATTTCCACTGATTCTTTAACGGAATGTTTCTTAGATTTCTGTAAAAAAGGAATGCAGCTCTGGTACAGGTGGAACTTATAATGCCTGACTCGGTGATACACTTCAGTACGACGGCCACATGTTTTGCCAACCACCAACAGCTGAAACCAAACGGAGGAGAGTTACGTTATTATTGTGAGCGCTGGAATAGTTTCTCTACTGGAAGTCAGCAGTAATAAAGAAAGAGAGAGTTACTGCGTCTGCCCGAATGAGAGAGTATCAGTGCAGATTACATTTGGAGCAGAACCTTTGTGTTTTAGTTTTTGATCCCAATGTAAGGATGTCTGACAGTTTCAAAGAGGACCAGTATGAATTGAAGTGGTTAAACTTTAGAGATTATTCTTAAAGCCAGAGCTGGGTTTTAGAGGTTTATGCAAAGTTTTAGCATTTAGGTTATATGTTGAGGGTTTGGTAATAGTAGTTAGGTCACATTGAACTGTACTTTAAAACTGAAGAATCTGATTGGATAAGCAGAAAAATGTATTCAACAAACTACCGTAGAATAAGTCCAGCTGGATGTCAGTAACTACAACTAGGTAAATCATGACCTGGATAAATGAAAACTCTCACAGGCATAGGTTATACCTTTTGCAGACATTGAGGTCCCATGAACTGCATTGTGAGAAGGCAGAGGGAATTTCAAGTGACCCTTCACATGTGAATATACCGAGCAGGGCAGTATAGCAGTGGACTGGGGTGGTGAGGGAGCATATGGAAAGCCAGTACTGACTCCATGTGATCCCTTTTTCAAAATTAACCTATTTTTTTAGTATAAGCCATGTACAGGTTTTGCTGATAGCTGGTATTAGTGCTGGGAATTTTTTTTGTATTTTATTGTTCTGTGAAATTCCCTTTTTATCTGCACCTTACCTTTGAAAGATAGTTACAAAATGATTGGGGTGGTTTCTATTTTTGTGCTGCTTGCTAGCTTTGGTGTAGACACAATGTAGGTCTGTGCTTGGCTTCTGATGTTTCTCTGCACCCTGAAGATTGTGTGCAGGCGTAACTGCCCTCAATTCTACACATGTCCCATGATGGGAGCACTGTTAGACTAAAGTAAGGGATCACACTTCACAGAGGGGCCTTGACGAGGCAGTTTGGCTTTCACATAGTTTTGCAAATGTTTTAAACAGAAATTGTTGAAACCATGTAGAATTCGGTTTTTAGCTGGCTAACTAGAATGAGTGTTGGAAAACATTTGTATTGTATTGTTCTGTGCTCTTTTCATGTGCATCCTACTTTAAAAATCCGATTATAAATTGATTGGAGGGGTTGCCATTTTTATTTTGCTTGCTGGATTTGCTGCAGAGACACACTGGAGGTCTCCAGTTGTTTCTTTTGCACCCTAAGGAGGATTGGGTTACCTCCAGGCGTACCTGCCCTCAGTATATGAATTGCTATAGATGTCCCAAGATGGGAGCACTTCACAGAGGGGCCTTCATGAGGCAGTGTGGCTTACACATATTGTAGATTTGCAAATGTATGCAGTTAAAACCTCTGTTTTTAACATGAAATGATTGAATAAGTGTCAAATGTTTTTTTTTTTGTTTTTTTTTGCTGGATAGCTGGTATGGGTGCTGGGAAATGTTTGTATTGTATTGTTCTGGGATATGCCGTTTTCATTTACACCTTAATTTAAACAGCTAGTTATAAAGTGATCAGAGTGAAAGCCATTTCTGTTTTAAAGTACAGGTTCACTTTAAGCATGGGACAACGATGCACTCCAAGGTGTAAGGGCACCTTTATACCTTTTCAGCCCTTTAGTAAATAGCACTCCGTAGGTCATGAATAAAAAATTAGTCCGAGACAAAAGTCAGCTGATCTGCACATATAATAGTACAATGTAGTACAGCACCCTCTATTACACTCCTTACCTGTTTATCTTCAGGAAGGAAGTCATCGTTTTCTAATGTTTCACTGTCATAGGCTTGTCCAGAGAGGGCCACAAAGTATGTGCAGTACCGGAGCAATTCACAGGCATCGCAGGATTGTTTAACAGCTATCATTATACTTATGTTGAGTTTTGGGTAAGCATTTACCCTCTCCTGCAAGAGAAAGAATTCTAATTCAGTCAAACCTTTTTTAAAGGAGAACTATGAGGTGAGTGATTTCCACTCATAGTTCAAGCCGCCCTGTGACAATGAGACTGTCACAGGTCGGCTCAGTAGGTCAGGAGGTGAGCGAACACATACTGGCGTTTGCTCACCTCTCGATCCTGTCACAGCTCTCTGCCGTGACAGGGGAGGTGCTGGATTCCCCCCTCCCATCCGCCAGCGCTGACTGGCGGATCGGACGGGGGAGGGGGCGGGTACAGCTGGCTCTGCCTCTAGATAGGGAGAGTATGTAAAGGTAAGACTGCTTTTAGAATAGAGTGGGGGAGTTTTAGACCAGGGGTCTCAAACTCAAATGACTTGGGGGCCACTGGGAACATTTTCATCTTCCATGGGGGCCGCATCAGGAGAGACAGCCAGGAGAGCGAGGAGAGACGACAAGAGAGACAGGCAGGAGGGAGAGACAGGCAGGAGAGAGAGCGCGCGAGGAGAGACAGGCAGGAGGTAGAGCAGGAGGAGAGAGAGAGAGGGAAAGAGAGAGAGAGAGAGAGAGAGAGAGAGAGAGGATAGAGAGAGGGGATAGAGAGAGAGAGAGAGAGAGACGGGCAGGAGGGAGACCACAAGGAGAGAGAGAGAGAGAGAGAGAGAAGAGACAGCCAGGAGAGAAAGTGAAGAGAGATAGCGAGCAACACATCTGCCTGAGGCAGAACCCCTGTGCCCTTCAAGAGTCTTATCTGCACCCGGAGTTTCATACATCTTTTTGTTCCCCAAGTTCCAGCGTTTTTTCCGTTTCCCGTGCCTCCCCCATACACTTAAGTTGGAACATCACCCCACCCCGTGGTTGCCCCTGTCCGACTGACCTTGTGAGATCTTGTGTCTGGGCCTGAAACCTGGACACAGCACATACAGGCCTCAAAACCTGGACTGTCCGGGTGAATACAGGACAGGTGGCAACCCTAGCTATGCCACTGGCTGCAGCAAAAGATAAGGGCCAGGTACAAGAGGGTTGGCTCTAGCCCCCTAATTGCAGGACAAAAGCAACTAGTCTGTGGGCCGGTACATTGGGACCCCTGTTTTAGACCCTCTGTCGAGTTTTAATTTGTGTCTTCACTGGACAAATTAATTCTTTCTATTTGTTCTGCTGACCACAGTCACCAAGAAACTGATGGGAAATCCAAGATGTTGTCATCAGAACAAGAGGAGAGGGGACATAACCCATTGGGTACACATGTTCTGGTGAGAACTGTGTCAGCTGGAAATTCCCCTCACATTTCCTATTCTGCCAATAATATTGTAAGCAAAGAAAAATCTCCCCTAAAAAACTAATGGGGCTTCAACACCACCTTATGCTATCCAAATCTAAAAGCTGGCTTTACATAGATTTTAGTTGGCCACAGACAGCAACATGGTGGAAGCCATTAGGCCTTTCCACGCAATTTTCACTCGCCAATTGCGAGGGGGCGAGTGGAAATTTTGAGCCCTGCCTTAGGGCTTGTTCATACCATGTCCAGACCAGAACAGTTTCTTCCCAGACCACAACTGCATCCCAATGTATCCCTATTAGTATTTCTGGGCTCTGTTCACACCAGCGCAGTCTGTTCCAGACCAGACAAAAAAAAAAAATACTGCTCGTCTCATTTTGTCTGGTCTGAAATGCACCAGAACACATGGGAACACATACAAACGAACTGGAACGCAATGGACCACACCTGAAAGCCCATTTTTAAACAAAACAAAAAAAAGAAACCGCTCTGGAACGCAGCAAAACGCAATGCACCGCGTTCCAGATCTGGTACGAAAAATGGTGTGAACCTGACCTTACCCAATGTATGCAAAATAATATACATATTTCCAGCTGGAGTACAACTTTAAATTGTCACCTTGTACCGGGGCTTCCAACGACAGCTTGTGGTGAGTTTTTCAAGACGAGGAGCTATGATGCGTTCATCCAAATAATTCAGGGACTTCAGCATGTCTTTTGCATACCTCTTCTCTCTTTTTCCTTCTATGCAGCAAAATATCAAAAACACAAGATGAAGGCTAAAGCATGGTAAAGCCAAAGTGTAAAGTGATATTAAAGTCAAATGGATTTTAAGCCATTTCAAAAGCTGATGAAATCAGTGTGCAATGACATCAGAGTAAGCAATTTCAGTACAATAGAGCAGTGGTTCTCAACCTGTGTAACCTCAGGACCCACATTTGTCTTTGGTCATTAAGACACTACCCAAGTCGCACTGCAATGGAACGCACGGCATTGCAGTACTGTGCGTTCCGGTGCGGGCAATCGAACTGTGGGTGGGAGGTGCGTTTGGGGTGCCATTAAAAATGTCCACTCAGTCTCCCTACCTTATGAGAACTGGAGTGGATTCTCATCCTGGTGTCCAGTGTGGGCTGCTGTGCTGTGACGGAGCTCTATCCATACGTGCAACGATTGTACAGCTCCCTTGTGTGCCCTGTAGAGGTGCCGGGAGCCGGAATGTGACATAACTCTGGTCCAGGCACCTCTACAGCGAGAAAGCTGTACGTATGGATGGAGTTCCCCCACGGCCAAAGCCCCAGCCCATCCCACCTCAAGCTCACACTCGGCACCGGGCAGCATATTTTGAATGGCTCAAGAACTGGCAGTGCTGCAAAAGGGGGAGGCTGAGGAAGGCACGCGGCAACCCACTGAACATGGGGTCGCGACCCACTTCTGGGTCACGACCCACCAGTTGAGAACCAAGGCAATAGAGGACACTGTACAAAAGGCTCCAGTATAGTGGCTTAGTGGTTAGCAGTTCTGCTTTGCAGCACTAGGGGGGTCCCCGGTTTTAATCCCAGTCAGTAAGTACTTATCCTTGTTGCACTCCTTATCAAAAGTCCCTTATGATGGGGGGCGGGGTGCTCGCAGTGACTGCGGATGGCGCTGCAAATATCAGAGAATTGTAGAAATGTCACCAGCACACCAATCTTTTTAGAATAGCAAAAGATTCATTTTTGAAGTTCCTTGTCATATGAACAAGTGCTTTTGGGGCCACACAGGGCCCCTTCATCAAGCTTTAGCATTGGCCAGTGCTAAAGCCTGAATCACAATCAGGACACTATCTGTAAGGAGTTTGTATGTTCCCCCTGTGCTTGTGTGGGTTTCCTTTGGATGCCCACACTCCAAAGACATGCTGGAAGGTTAATTGGCTCCAGTCTAAATTGGCCCTGTATGCACGTACAATAGGGACCTTGGACTGTAAGCTCTTTGAGGGCAGGGACTGATGTGAATGTGCAGTATGTAAAGCGCTGTGTAAATTGTCAGTACTAAAAATATATATTATACAAAAAATTGTGCAAGACTGAAGGGAAGGCTGAAGTTCAGCTCAAGGCCCCTTTCACGCAGGCTGATCAGGAGAGGATGTGTGCACAGATCCTCTCCTGATCACAGGGGTACGGATTGGATGTCACTGCTGTGACACCCGTGTCCGTACAGTTTTTTCAAACTGAAACTGTCGGACCCCATGTGTGTCTACGGAGGTTACCCGGGATTCCGGCACGATCCATCTGTCTTGCCGGGGGTGGGCATCCAATCGGGTCTGCCTGAAAAACTGACGGGAATCCGATCGGACCGCCCCTGTGAAAGGGGCCTAAAAGCATGACTATCATTTGCACCAAAGCTTTACCACTCTGCCTCAGTGTTCCATTTTCATGTTCATCATTGGAAAAATAAATATATGACTGCCTTTCTCAGCTAGAATATAGTTCCATATGCCTCATAAGCAACTAAATATAGGTAAATTATTATAGAGAAAAGTATGTTCTGAATCCGGACATTCAAGTTTCTGTGCTATAGGATGCTCTGAAATAAAGAAAATAGACATTTCTGCTATGTAAGGAATATATCATCTGACTTACCATACAGAGTTTCCAGAAATGTGTTATCGGCAATGTTAATTAGCAAAGCCTTGATCACCTTCTGGAGATGTGTATAAAGGTCATTAGAAGCAACTGAAAAAAACAGCAACATTAACATGGATATAATACATATTCATACATTGTTTAAAGGACAACTATGAGGTGAGTACTTTTCACTTACCTCATAGTTCTAGCCGACCTGTGACAATGAGACTGTCATAGGTCGCCTCAGTAGATCGGGAGGTGAGCGAACAGTTATCGGCGTTCGCTCACCTCTCGATCCTGTCACGGCAGAGAGCTGGATTCCCCCCTCCCCTCTCCGATCCGCCAGCGCTGACTGGCGGAACGGACGGGGGAGGGTACAGCTGGCTCTGCCTCTAGATAGGCAGAGACAGCTGTCAGTCACGCAGCTGGGCGGATCCCGGCACAATTGTCGGGATCCGCTTCAGCTGCGGCGTCTCGGTATACCGCCAGCTACAGCTCGTGGTATACTGCGGCGTCTCAGTATACCGCAAGCTACAGCTCGCGGTATACTGAGCCTAGGGTGACAGGAGGACGCTAGTTTGTGTCCTCCCATTACCCTAAGGAGAACTATGGAGAAAAGACTTAACCCCATAGTTCTCCTTTAAAGCGACTGTTTATCATTTAAAAAAATAAATAAGGCCTGCAAAGAAAAGATTTAATACTTCCCTATCCTGCCGCCCATGACATCAAAACTCCACTGTCTTAACCACTTGCTGCCCGGAGCATTTTCTTACTATTTGCGCACACATGATCAAATATACATTTTTGGCTAGAAAACAGCTTCAGACCCCCCAAACAATGATATATGTTCTGAAAGCAGAGGCCCTCTAGAATAAAAAAAAATGCTAGTTGCAATAGAATACCCAATTTCTTGGTAAAATATAAAAGATGGGGTCACGTCGGGTAAATAGATACCAAACATGTCAAGCCTTAAAATTGTGTTCGCCCGTGAAGCCGCAAAAAACTTAAATACCCCAAATTTCCCATAGGGAACACTTTAAACGATTTTACCGCTGATCATTTTAGTGTTTTCAGTGATTGATGGCCCCGGAATGGTTCCAACGTAGCCACAAACTTTGAAAGAACACTGGCATGTACAAAATAAGATCTGTTTATCTCCCACAAATGTACTCGGTTCCTAATTTATTTATTGTGGACTGAATGGTGTCAGCCCTGTCCAGCTGTCTTATGCAAAACTACTCAGCCCTTCCCCTTCTCATCTACACAATAGTGCTAATCCACCCAACATTGCCTCGGATGCCATCCACACACAGCGCTCTAAATGTGTAAACACACCAGATCTAGAACCCTCAGTGCAGGCATTGCTGCAGCTCTCCTCAACCTATACACAAGTGCGCATAAGCCAATTCTATGAATGTGTATGAGGATTATTTAATGCAACTTTAGTTCTGCTTAAAGAAGAACTCCGGTTAAAAATTTTTATTAACCCTTGCAGTGGGGCTACCCCGCATTGCAAGGGTTAAGTGCATGTTTGTGTCTAGGTGCTAAAAAAGAAACAAAAAACAACAACAATTTACCAGACCATCGGAATCGGCTCTCTGCTTCAGTGATCACTGAAGTGTGTCTCCTACTCCCACTGCACAGATAAGACCGCTCCTGGCGTCCTCTCGTCTATACACATCTATGCACAGTATATAAAGTGTTATGGCACTAGTATCCTTGGACTGCTGCAGCGGAGGGGGAGAGACGTTCCAGACCCCAGTCTAAGTACAAGCCGGCTCAGATACTCTGGTGAGTATAACTTTTTTTTTACAGCACCTAGCCACAAACGAGTACTTAATCGAGGGTTAATCATTTTGTTCCCCCTGGAGTACTTCTTTAACCACAGTCTGATCATTCTCACAGTGTGCTGTATACTCAGACTGAAAAGGCAGAGAGTACATTGAGATCTCCCATCATAGTGGCCACCAGATCCTAACTGACTACTGTAAGACCGCACACAGCTCATCATCTAATGCTGGGACATACACTGAGGAATTCTGTGCTTCAGGAACAATTCCTGATATCTTGACGGTCGGTTTCCATCTTCATCTTCCGGATCTTCCTCCTCATCTTGCTCTATAAAGTCTTTCATCTCCTGACTGTCCTCATCTTCACCCAATGTTTCTGGAGTCAGGGGACTGTACACACTGCTGGAACTTGCCTACAAGATAAACCAGACATATAGAAAGTATGCTGACTCTTTTGTATGGTCACCATTCCTTTTCCTCTACAGGACCTTCCCATCTCTTATTTCCCCTCACTGCAGTACATGTTCAGGCATATCTGCATGAAAAGTTCAGGTTGTGCACCAAAGGTTTAACGGATCTCTCATCTGACCAACCAAAGGTAAGATTTCAACTCGGCATGGATGTTGATGGGCTAAATCATTCAAAGACTTTCAAGATGATACAGTATCTCTTAGGGACTCCCTTGATGACATCACTATACCACCAACCTGCATGATGTATTCCAAGGTAGACTTTCTACCTGCTGGATTTTTTACCCAACAATATTTTACTGAAGGACCAGTGAACCATGCCCTTGGTTGCAGCAGATAGGGAGACTCTGGAGAGGAGAAACAAAGCCAGGAACGTAAATGAGAACACCTTGCAGTTAGAGCATTTGAGAAATACAAGAAAACCCATCACAGTCCCATACAACCAACACTTTGCACTTATATGCACCATAGAAAAGATACCCTCTTACTACCTCATTGTATCCGAGTGAAGGAGCAGCAGATCAATATTGGACTGTCTTTTAAAATCATGAGAATGGAATTCATGCTAAGTTTGTATTACCGCATGACGGGTCAGAAGCAGATGTCAGAGTCCTGTCTCAACTTTAAAACCCAGTTCAATACTTGGCCATACGGTCGATCAACTCCAACTCCCATACAACAATCATTAGAATGCACAATATGGTATTCCAGCTTTGTGTGCTTGCCTGTTGGGGATTTTTATGTCTCCAGGACTCCAACTGTAGAGATACCCACCACACTTAAATGTTTCACCCAACGATGGTGGTACAAGTAAACTAGAGAGGAATCCAGCTTTGACAGAACACCACCATCTTTATGGCCTGGTTGAAGTAGGTGGAGATACAATTTATTGTACAGAAATAAGATTAGAGTTGAAGAACTGTAAGAAGCTACTGGTTGGTTCATGTTACCTGTGCCCACCATCAGAACCATCTTTTTTTAGGAGAAGTTGTACTTTTATTTTTTTAACTGAACTATTCACATGATGAAACCCTCCGGACCTCCCCCCAGAAAAACCCCACATGCTAAATGGTGTCTCTGTGCTGCAAGTGTACATCTACACTTGCAAAGATTTACATCTCTGCTTATACAGTATGTGTGGTCCTTGGTAGGTTATAGCTGAACAGGTCCAGAGCAGGAATAAAACTCAGCTCACCCATTACGCATCGGGAGCTTTCTATAGTTTGCTCTGTCTAAGCTGTTGTGTAAAAGGTTAGAATGGAGAGTGAGGAAAATATAATAGAAAATAAAAGGCTGCTCGTATATTGGCCAATTTTTCAGAAGAGTTCAAGGAAATTCTGCACACTTAAAGATCATCACCAGTGACTGACAGAGATGGTAAAGTTCCAATTTTTCTTTATTCCCAGATGATCACTTTGATTGCACTTTCGAAGTATCTTCTGAAAAATCGGCTTATGCAAACCCAAATTTACCTCATCGGATTCCCAGCTGTTTCTTGGGTTTTTGGATCGTCTTTTCTCAACAAGTTGTTTCAAGTTATCTTTCCTCAATTGTTTCTTGTTTGGGGCCTTGACCTCTCCTGAAGGTTCCCCATTGTTTTCTTTATTCAAGGGGTCATCATCATCATCATCTATAGCACGACGGCGCCTGACGAGGGTTCTCACACCAGGCTCATCGCTGTCAGAGCTACTGTCGCTGCTTTCTATCGTCATAGATCTCCTCTTGTGTCTGGGTTTCCTGATGTTGTCTTCTCCATCATCGGCAGTGCCCCCTGATAGCCCCAGCTGTTCTTCATTCTCTACACTGGATACACTGCTACTATCAACTTGCTCTTCTTCTTCGGATGTGGAAGTCGACTCATCAGAGTCAAGAATGTGGGATATAGAGTCTACTTTTGTGCGTTTCCAGTCCACCCTGGACTTTGGAATGGTCTCATTTGACTTTCTTTTCTGTCTTGTTTCATACATCTTTGAAGTAATTTCCATGTTTGCATGATAATAAATACCTTCACTGGAAAAGAAAGTAAAAAGAAATGACAGAATTCTAGTACAATAATATGTCCCAGATCACAAAAGAGGTCTATCAAATGCTTCAACTCAAAGTCATTTGTGGCAAAGTGACCTTCTAAACCATGGGTCACTGAATGGTGGACCGTGGTCCAGATCCGGACCAAGTGGCTGTTCTGTCCACACCATGGTTCCACACCGGTGATGGGTTATTTCCATAACCTAGTGCAGTCACTGGTTGCTAGGACCGCTGGAGACAATTAATGTAAGGGTCAAATAGAGAGTCCCGCCGCACTCCTGCCCGAGAAGCCCCATATATTGTAGATGGGGGGCTGCAGTGGCCGCGGATGGCGTTTCCAAATAATTGCAAAACAGAATAAGTGGTCACCAGCACTCCCAAGTTTTCTTCAAAACTAAATCGTTTTATTCATTCTAGCAGGTCATATCACCATGCGTGGCAATGTTTGCCTGATAAAGGGACTGGACAGGTTCCGAAACGTTGCCAAGCATGGTGATATGACCTGCTAGAATGAATAAAAGGCTTTCAATTTGAAGAAAGCTTGGGAGTGCTGGTGACCATTTATTCTGTTTTGCAATTACTGTAAGGGGGCACCCTAATAGGGGCAACTAATCATTAGTTGTCCCCATCATAGTGCCCCTTTACATTAGTTGTCCCCATCATAGTGCCCCTTTACATTAGTTGTCCCCATCATAGTGCCCCTTTACATTAGTTGTCCCCATCATAGTGCCCCTTTACATTAGTTGTCCCCATCATAGTGCCCCTTTACATTAGTTGTCCCCATCATAGTGCCCCTTTACATTAGTTGTCCCCATCATAGTGCCCCTTTACAGTAATATTGCCTATGAGTGCCACTTTACATTAGTAACCAATATAAGGGTCCACTCTAATGGGGACAACTAATAATTAGTTATTCCCATCAGAGCGTCCCTTTACAGTAGCTGTCCCCATCAGAGTGCGCCCCTACATTTGTTGCCCTCCATTAGAGTTCGTTCTTACATTAGTTACTGTACAGGGGCACTCTGATGGGGACAACTACTTTAAAGGGACGCTCTGATGGGGGCAACCAATGTTGGAGAGCACTCTGATGGGGACACCTATTCATGAGTTTCCCCATCAGAGTGCCCTGTCACATAAGTTACAGAGATAAGTTACAGAGTCTGAGATAGTTACCAGGGGCAGTGGAGATGTTTTAGTCACTCTGGGTACAGTAGAGTTTTTGAACAGTGCCTGACTTAGTTATAATATATGTATATAGAATAATGTAAACCACGCACTACAAGAAGTATTATAGTACTACAGTGTAAACTACATTACAGTGTTATAGTATAAACGACATTATAATATACACAATAGTACAATCAGATTGTAATGATGGTGGCCAGCACAGGCCGGCTTTTTCAGCAGAGAAATACTTTGGTGTTTTCAGAGGTGTAATCACAGCTGATAGGCGTAATATAAGCTGTGAAGAGAGACACACCTGGAAGCAATAATTTGTGCTTTTTTATTTCTTATTCAGGATGCTAAATCTGGTGTAGCCTGAAAAAAAGGGAAACAATCTTTTCTGATTATCCTGAAGTATTCAGTACTTATGCATATTACTGTTCGTGATGATGAAACAGCCAATTCCTAAAGAAAACACTAGTGGTATGAATGTACAATACAGTGTGCAAAGTTCAATGGTTTGAGAATTGGGATGTATAGTATAGTACAGTACAGTACAGCACAGTATAGCATAGTACAGATTTATAGTACAGCATAGCATAGTACAGCATAGCATAGTACAGCATAGCATAGTACAGCATAGCATAGTACAGCATAGCATAGTACAGCATAGCATAGTACAGCATAGCATAGTATAGTACAGCATAGCATAGTACAGCATAGCATAGCATAGTACACTATAGTTTAGTATAGTATAGTACAGCATAGCATAGTACAGCATAGTATAGTAAAGTACAGCATAGCATAGCATAGTACACTATAGTTTAGTATAGTATAGTACAGCATAGCATAGTACAGCATAGTATAGTAAAGTACAGCATAGCATAGCATAGTACAGCATAGTATAGTGCAGTATAGTATAGTTTAGTATAGTAAAGCACAGTATAGTATAGTACAACATAGCATAGTACAGTATAGTACAGCACAGCATATAAAACAAAGTCTAGTTATTAATAAAATATACGTAGCTATTTGTCCAGTAAAACTGCATGAACACTGGTCATGTGTGAATTACCAGGAATTGTATCCTGTAGTAACAATGGTTACATTTATTTCCTGATTGCCTCCAGTGATCTCTAGAATAGTTACATTGGATCTCTTATTACTAAGAGGTATTTTCTCCCTATGATCCTCAGCGCCATCTAGTGGTCATACTGCAGAAATTTCCTGATTCACTTTATTATTAAAGTGTGCGACTCAGGCCGCGTGCGGAGCCCCGAACAGGCTAAGCAATCGATAGCCGACGAATCGACGATCGAAAAAGTTGCCAACGTTTTCAATCGTCGATTTTAATCGACTTAATCGATTAACTGTTGCAGCTCTACTTTAAACCCTCGTGCTTGCATATATATATATGGCTAGCAAGCAGTAGATATATGTAAAAAGTGTTTAAAAAAAAGCTTTAAAAGGAGGTCAATACTTACCTGTGTCTTCCCCGTGCGCTCCCGTCTGAAAATGTGAAGATTCTTGGGTGGCCACAACGCATCTTGGGGCGGGCGCATGCGCAGTTCACATTTTTGGCCGGGAGATGAGGAGAGACACAACGTAAGACTATGGACAGAGGAGTCAGCGCTGGATCGGAGACCCGCAGCAGCGCTGGAGGGACAGATGAAAAAGGACAGGAAAGAAGAAGATCGGATTAAGAAATATAATTAAAGGCAAGTGCTAACATTAACATGGGGGGGAGGGGGGCGCATTTTCTGACTTTAAAGTGACATTAAACCCTCAAATTTTTTAACATAAAACAATACTTTAATGTGTGCCTTACTGTAATCCATGGTTGTTTCCCTTCTCTTTGCTGCTCTTCCTTTTAAATCTGTATCTGTTCTCATGCTGGGGGAGAACTTCTGTTTTGCAGCAGACTGCCTTGTCTCTGGAATGGATACATGGTGTCTGTGTGCAGGTTCACAACCTGAGCCAGCACTACAGGAAGAGGCACTCAGCTGCAAAGGGAAGTTCTCCCCCAGCATGAGAAGACATGAGGATTTAAAAGGAAGAGCAGCAAGGAGAAGAGAAACAACCATGGATTACAGTAAGGCACACATTACATTACAGTATTGGTTTATGTTACAAAATCTGAGAGTTTAATGTTACTATTCCCAGTAATACCTGACATACATTTACCCAGAAGAGAACTGGTTGATTTACACATCATGTTGGTACAGTGGGATGGGTGGTCATGTCGGTACAGTGGGGCGGTCAGCAGAATGAAGGACGGGGGAGATATGGTGGTAGATAGAGAAGTACATACTTGGGGGTCTTCGCTGCCACCATAACCCAGGACGTAAGAGGCATGGCACTGACAGCTATCTCATGACACTGGCAGCTCACTCACGGAAATGACAGCTCACTCAGGGAAATGACAGCTCTCCCATCTCACTCATGGCACTGACAGCTCTCCCATGGCACTGGCAGCTCTCCCATCTCACTCATGGCACTGGCAGCTCTCCCATCTCACTCATGGCACTGACAGCTCTCCCATCTCACTCATGACACCGACAGCTCTCCCATCTCACTAATGGCACTGACAGCTCTCCCATGGCACTGACAGCTCTCCCATCTCACTCATGGCACCGACAGCTCTCCCATAGCACCGACAGCCCTCCCATGGCACCAACAGCTCTCGCATGGCACCAACAGCTCTATCATGGCACTGACAGCTCTCTCACGGCACTGACAGCTCTCTCACGGCACTGACAGCTCTCTCACGGCACTGACAGCTCTCTCACGGCACTGACAGCTCTCTCACGGCACTGACAGCTCTCCCATGGCACTGACAGCTCTCCCATGGTACTGACAGCTACCTCACTGACAGCTCTGGGTCTCACATTTAATACATGTATAACATTCTATCACATTTAATATTATCAGCATCAGCTCCCACCACCAGAACATCTACAGAGCATGGATCGGTGCAGCCCATCACAGGGCCGGAATCAGGTCAGGACCAGAGACAAGGCTGAACATAGCGGCTGGTGTAAACAAGTCCCGGGTACCATCTACACAGAGCGGACCCCTTCCTCTCCCGGCCACCGTTCACCATCAGGATAAATAACACATCAACCTACCTCCATCAGGGGCCGCTCCGAATGCACGCCCCCTCGCCCTCCATCTGCTTTAGTTTCGCTTTAATGTCCCGCACTCTGTGCCGAGAGGATGGGCGTTGTAAAACTGCTAAAGAGACGCGTAAGGGCGTGTCCTAACGGTGACAGTCAATGAGGACACGCCTCCTAGCCCGCCATCCGCATTAAGTTTCGCTTTATGTCACGTGTGGGTCGGGTCCTCAAGCCAGAACGCACGGGGCGGGTCCTAGAGCGCGAAGTCACTGGCTGGCTGTGCCCCAGAGCTTGTACACACGGGGCGTGTCCTAATAAGTATTATAGCTGAGGTAGGCGTGTCCTGGTTGTTTTGATTTGAGTGAGCAGTGACAACCACGTGGTGGGTGTAGGAGGAAGGAGACGCTTGTTGACGTGTTGTGTGCTCAGACTCGGAAATAAAAAGTTGCAGTTTTAGATGTTGAGTAAATATGATGAACCCGATAGAGTTATAGGGTGATTTTACTATGCTGCGGGGTTGTGAAGACATAGCTCAGTGATTGGTCAACTTCCTTGATACAGGGTGTTGCAAATGTATACCTGAGATGTCTTCACCAGTGCATAGAATGTAACACAGGGCTAGCAGGGCAAACACCCCACATCTGATGTTTACTGCTCTGGGTCTCAAGGGTGCAAACTGCCCACCATTTCATGTAACCAC